CAATCATTATCATTTTTTGTTGGCTGTGTACAGATTAAACTAGTAAGCAATCCAATCCAATTTTAGTTCCCATGTGGCATCATCTCATATCCACACACGTCATCTCAGGGCATGGTCTAGCCCCCAGCTGACCGGAAGAGGGAATAACCTCACAAACCTTTAGTTTTCTGAAGGGTAAGGTAGCATGGAAAGGAGCTCAGTCACAATGAATTATCACAAAAAGCTAAAGCATTTATGCTCTGAATGTGACTGTTTTTCTTCTGTGTGCAGTGTGCCATAGATTCATTGCGAGTATTGTGTGTGCATTCAGACGCCACACTTTCGTCTGTATATTAAGGAATTCATCATCATTAGAAATAATTTCAAGGGGGCAAAGAATAAATCTTTAGACTGGTATGGCCCTACATGCAGGTTGAAAATATGTTTATTTGGTTACATCTTTTTCAGGTGTATTTTTTTTCCTACCGCCCTCCAAATTATTGTTGGCAAAACTTTTTTTTTTCAATTTCTATCTAAACAAGAAATTGGAAGTACATTAATTTAAACAATTTAGAAAGATTTTTTTTTTAAATCTACGCAAAATAAGGATAATGAGAAACTTGTTCTTAATATTGATATCACGAACCTTACCATTACAGTACTAATTGGAGGAATCAGTTAGCCATCACTGTTACAATTTTTCTATCATTATTTCCCAAGCTTAGATTGAATTTCACAAGAATCTTGACAGGTCCTGTACAGCTGTCCGGCAGCTCTCCTCCTCAGTGTACTCCAACTCTTTGTCACCTCCTTTGGCACAGCCTCTCAGGAAAAAATTGACACAAGTTATCTAAACCTTGAAAAGGCTGCCTCACAGATTTATTCCCTGAATGCTTGTCATTGTGAAAATAAGGTGTGTTTCGTTTTTCAAAGCTGGTTTCCTGTATCCTTAACTTCTGGTATTTTAGATTCTGGCTCTGTACTCACAGAGTGCTGGTGTTGTCTTTCTGTGTTAAATCAGGCAGTTGTTTTAGGAAGACACGTTTTGGTGTTATTTCCATTACAAAGCTAAACCTTTTATGTATCTCAGATGCCGGGCTTTACAGGGCTTGGGCAGCAATATAAACTGTAGCTGTCCTCATCTCCAGTCCTCCTCTGTGGCACATCCGGTTAACGAGGAGTTAACTAACACTATTCACATGCGCAGGAGAAAAACCACTGAAGTCTCAAAGGGCAGGAGTTCCAAGCCCCTAGCCTAACTGGCTGTGCAAAGCCTGAAGTTCAGCCATCTGGTTGGCGTCTTCCTCTTCGGCTGCTCGAGGCTGTCACAAGATTCCGGCTCCTGGGAAGTCTGGGGCTTTCCAGCTCGTGCTGTGTGTGGATCATGGCAGGGCTGCACACTGACTCAACTCCAGTGGACAAGAGGAAACAGTACATATAAGGGAAGTCTGAGTCATCAAACTTTGCACTTACCCAACCACCACCCCCGGCTGGGAAAAATCCCTTTTTTTCCCCACCATCTCTGAGATCTTTGCCGTTTCTTCTTTAGTGCTTACAAAAGGCAGGGGTATCACTTGTGACCAAAGTTGCGTGTAATATTCAAAGCACAAGGATTCGGGATCTGCATCAATTGCAAAGCCCACTCCAACACGCACATTCCTCTAAGGAAGGCCACCCACTCTGGGCTGAGACTGTGACTCAGCTTCAACACATAGGCTTCCGATCTTTTAACCCTTGGTCTTAAGAAAAACGTGTTAGGATTTACTTTGGCATATTATGTATTTGATGCTTTTATCTATTTGTGTCCCAATAACTCGAAGCATTTAAAGGGTGAAGGGTGATAAAAGAGATGGTTTATGATGTCCATTTTCACAAAAAGTTCTTAATTTATGCCCTGTTAACAGAAAATATTGCTGTGTCTAAAGACATTGGCAAACAGAACACATCCCCCCTTCCCCTCCCACCATTCTGATGAACGTTTGCCAGGGACATTCTGTGATGATAGATTCTAGAAACCATGACTCTTCTGTTCTCTGGTAAGCAGTATGGTATCGATGAGAAATTACTTCAACTCACACTCCCTCGGAACCCCACTGCATGAGCGCAGATCTGTAACTGGGAGTGTGGTGACTGAAGCCTAACTGGAACATCATGGTGTCAGTGTTGCACAATAAAGAAAAGCAGTTTATGGCTGGGAGAACTGATCTCGGTTTCTGTCCACGAAGCCGACGCTGTAAAGAAAAGGGAACAGCTGGCTGAATTCACTCACCCAGTTTAAGTACAGTTCTCTGTCTGAACAATAAAAACCCCAAGAGACCCCTATAATGTGGCCTCAACTGTGTCAGGCAGCCACCTCACAGAGTTATGCTTATTATTTATGAAGGGGGAACAAATTCTGTACTAAAACACAGCATTAAGCAAGCCTTCAGGGATCATATGAGTCACAACTGACAGCTATCAGCTGCTTTTCTGAAAAAGAAAATTAATTTCTCTTATTGTTGCCCATGCCAGCATTTACCAGCTTGGTTTAGAAACACTTGTCAGCATTAAACCACAGGCAACCATACAACTTCCAAGTTTATTTCTAGGACTTTTTCCAACAAAAGTGAAGGTCCAGCCATAAAACTTGGACTGATGTAATGATTATAAAGAGCAATTGTTTATAGAAATGAGTTCTGTATGGCCACATTTTGGTCTTAGTTTTAGTTAAACTTACCTTTTTACATTCAGTTAACTGGCCATTAACTCAAGTTAATGAGTAATCAGGCAGTTGACTAGTATGAAAATGCTAGTCAACTAAGAATGATCCAAGGATATCATTTCTTAGCAGCCAGCATATCAGTTTCAACAGCATGTAAATTATTACAGAGTTCCTTTGCAGTTATGTAGAAAAAGATGACCTACAGACATCAGGGCAGCGTGGTGGCACTGTGGCTAAGGATCTGTGCCTGTGGCCAGAAGGTTGCCGGTTCATATCCCGTGGCCAACAGAGGAATCCTACTCCGTTGGGCCCCTGAGCAAGGCCCTTAACCCCAACTACTCCAGGGGAGCTGTACAATGGCTGACCCTGTGCTCTGTCTCCAAGCTTCTCTCCCTGTCTGTGTGTCTGTGTCTCATGGAGAGCAAGCTGGGGTAGGTGAAAAGACGAATTCCTAATGCAAGAAATTGTATGGCTAATAAAGTGATCTTATCTTATCACTATTAATCTTCCTTCATAAGACGAACATTGTATAGATCTCACCAGAACTTTCAAGCAGAAGCTTGAAGCAGAAGGCACCTGGAAACAAAAATTATTTTGCACCACACAATGCAGGTTAATTGTTCCTATCCGTCTGCTGACCTTGTTCCTTCCAAAGCAATCCTGACACTTTACCACATAGACAATGACTGCAGCCCTAGCTCCAGTGCAAGGACTGGATTTTTTACTTTTTTTGTTTTACAGGGGGTTCCGTGTAACACTCCACTGAACAGTCAGAGAACATATTCCAGAAATATGCAGGAATTCCAATCTGAAAGGCAGATTCATCCTCAGTGAAGGGGACATTGTGGTCTGCTCTGGAATTATGTCAGGAATGTTTGGGAATAGGGGAACTGGGATGGGGGTTCATCAGCAAGGCAATAAGAGCAGCCCTTGGAACTTGGTGTTTATTTACATTGTTCCACTTATCAGGCTTTATAGGTTTGGTCTCAGAGTAGCTCATTGTTTTTTCTACAAACACCTGACAGCAGCAGTCAGATCTTGACTGATGAGCTGTGGTGAAAAGTTGTCCCTTGGGCTGCTCAAATGTTTGAGCTCAGGTAACGGTGTCTTTCTCAGATGTGCCAGTGCTTACAAGAAGAGCCAAGCCACTTTGAAAAGTACTGTCAACGGCTGTTAAAAAAAACCCTCAAAGCAGTTTTGGGTGTAAAAGCCATTAATGAATGTTGTTGTCCCATGTCATTCAGAACTCAACAAATTCCTAGTTGTTGTCATCTTACTCTGACTCATCTGTGCATTTTAGTGTTTTCTTTCCTTTATATCAGTCAACACTGAAATTATGTGATCTCACATGGTGGTATCCAAAATGTTTTAACCTCCTATCAAGCAAAAAGTCAGACACCCTTGCTTAATCTTATGTGCTTATGGATACAGTTACATTAAATTGAGAGCTAGTCATTCTGAACATGTCAAGGACAATTTATCACATGAGTTGTTGTTACAAGGATGAACAGTACAATTGATAGAGCTTTTTCGGTCTTGGGGGAAATCTGTCCTCCACCTTTGTGAAAGTCAAAAATGGAAGTGCAATAATAAAGGAGACAGATGTAGCAAGGAAAATGTAGTTATGGAAAAGAGAATATAATATAATGTTGTAATTAATTGTATGATATAAGTTTATTATTGAATTACTTAATTATAATTTTAGAAACAAACCTGAACTTTTGAGACAGAAAACGTAGAGAATACCTCTAAAAGTTTTTCCTATGGTAAGACTCTTGTAAGATGATTTAAAGTTTGTAAAGCACAGTACAATTATGGTAAAGTACAAGTAATAGGAAAACATCCATCCATTTTCTGTTTCTTCCAATACTTCCTGTTTCTGCCATAAGGAAGGGTACACCCTGGACAAGATACTGGTCCATCAAAGGGCACACAGACACAGACACGCAGACTCGCACCAGGTTTTCACAGTTTTCCCAGAACACCTTTAACCTACCAGTATGTTTTTGGACTGTGGAAGGAAACCAGAGCACCTGCAGAAAGCCCATGTGAACGTGGGGAGAACTATATAATTTCAAAATTTCAAGAAATATCAACTCCACACAAACAGCAACCCAAGTCTGGAATCAAACTCAGGGCTCCAGCACTCCACTGCGTCATCATGCAGCCCTTATGGAAACATTAGAAATGAAAATTCATAGTATAAACATTTAAAACTCATGGGCAACTGAACAAAATGCAACGCACACAGAATAAAAACTTGTGAAAGTCACCCTTCAGTTGTTCTCATCAACAAATCCTGTCTGTGTGTTTGTTCCAGCCTACACCCAAATCCAGCCTCACCAGCTCATTCAGCACCAGCAGCACAAGCAGCACCAGTTTGTGATCCAGCAGCAATCCCAGCTCCCCCAGAGAAGCCAGGCCCAGCTCCTGCACACGGCTTCCATCCAGCCCCAGCTCCAGACGCAGGCCCAGCCAGTGCAGGCCCTCACCATCCAGTCAGCCCTGGCCACCCAGTCCCAGAGCCAGCAATGCTCCATCCCCGTCCTGCCCAAACCTCCTGCTCACCAGGCCCCTGCACCGAGCCAGCAGGCCACCATCTTCCACTCCACGGTGAGCCCCCAGAATGGACATCCCACAGCAATGAACCAGGCGGCCCATCCTAAACCCCAGCCTGTCCAGCTGGCTGCAGTCAACCTCCAGATCCAGCCAGCGCCCAACACGGTAAGAGTTACATTGCTGCGGTAAGCAATATCGAAAGGAATAACTGTCCCCTTCAATTCTCAACAACATTCTACATTGTTATTCAGTGCTATGTTGAATCGATGAAACAGTCAGGTATGGGACTTTAAAATGAAGTAACAGGCCTGTGTTCTCATGTGACGTAGGATTTGTCTTCTTACATGGTCTGCGGCAACACAAGTCTGGGATTGTTAAAAGGGATTACAGTGTAGATGATGAAAACGGGACCTTTTCTCAAAAACATTTTAAAGACCCAGCAACTCAAGTGATTGAAGTCAAGACTGGGTTAACCATAAGATCAAGACAGGCTTTAACAAAAGAAGCAACTGTAAGGGATAGGTCTATTCCATGCTGAAAAGAGAAGATGGGAAACACCACGTTTCGCCTGTGGAGCCTTCGTCGGGTGTAAGAAAGACAGGGCAGTCAGTGAAGATAAAATAGCATGGGAAAACAAAAGCCAGGAGAGAGGAAGAGGCGGGAGCAGGGGAGAGGCAGAGTGGCCAATCAATTTGTAGGTTTCATTTCACACCTCTCCTCACCTGTCTCGACCTCGCACCACTTGATTGGCCACTCTGCCTCTCCCCTGCTCCCACCTCCTCTCTCCTGGCTTTTGTTTCCCCATACTACGTCACGGCCATGCTCCACGGCCAAAACGTTGTGTTTCCCATCTTCTCTTTTCAGGGTGGAATAAACCTTTACTTGTTCCTTTGCAGCCTACACATGCTGATGCAGCTACCCACCTGAGCGACTGTAAGGGACGACAGGCATATTGTCTTTAAAGAACATACAGCTTATACACCTCCAGGAAAGAAGACATTAAATCATTAAAGACTTTTAAAAAAGCTGAACAAAACTTCTGTTGCCAGCAGGGAGCTATCCGTTACTCTCGCAGAGACGGCAGAACTTCTCAAAAGTGTACGCTGTCCCCATTCCTCGCCTCACTCCTTTCTCTCGTGTGCTATTAGGCAACCCGGCCTGTCCAGGATAGTGCCACTAAAGACAAGGCAGCTCCAGCAGCAAGCAGGGAGACATCTCAGGCCACCATCCCCCAGCAACCAGCCCCCGCTGCAACCCTGACCATAGCCACCACCGAGCAGCGCAAGACCGACACCAACAAGCCCATGGCGCCAGGTACTGCTTTTGGTTCCCAAGAACGGCTACAGATTGCCCAGATGGGTAGAGAAAGGATCTGGAACACTACCGCACCCCTCCATATTATAATGAGCACTCATCAGTAACAGCTGACCGTGCCTGCAGTCTAAATATTAGCCTTCTGATAGATCTGATAGATAGTGTCAGCAGCTATAAGAAAGTTTTTGCATGAGAAACTTTGCTGTGTGGCAAGGTGCAGTACATGCACAGACATTTTGAGTTTTACCCTTCTTCTCAGTGACACAACCCCCCCTTGACTTGTATGTATAATGCTCAGGGTTTTGTGTTAAAGACATTATGCATTTTTAAATTAGATTATGCATTTTTATACGTGTGAAGCTTTTTAAAATATTTAAGAGTGCTTAATATTATTTTTTCACAGGCATACATATTTAAGGTATAATGGGGACAATGTTTTATTACTGTACAAAGAGACGCCTTTCATGATTCATGGTTTGTACCACACTAAACAAAACTGACACCCGTTTTTATTCCACACAACCCGATTTTGTTCTGAAAGATGATGGGTAGATTCACTTTTCTTTTTTTTTTTTTAATATGAAAAATGTCTCACAAAGCCCCTTTCCAGATCAAATTGTTCTGCTTTGCTTGCTTTTCTACCATGATACTACATGTGCATAACTACATGCGAGTACTTTTCTCACATTAACGGTTGTAACCCGTGCATTTAAATATCTGTCCTCTTACTGTCACTTTGATTTTGGCGAGAAAACATGCATCCGAGTTAAGTAAATCACACGGCACAGTCAATCACTGTGACTCTACTGCATTATGTATGTTGCATGTGGGAAATATACCTTCTGAAACCATTGGGGAAGAGAACAGGAGAACAACAGATCTATGTCAGCAGGCTTAGCAAGACCACATATATTTCCTCCTTTACAAAAAAATAACCCACATTTTTTAAACTAATTTTTAGAACATTTGTTCCATATAAATCCATATATATCCCACATATCTGTACAGATTCTATATCAATATAAATACTACACACATTATCTATTGTATTATAAATAAGCCATCATTCTTACATGTTCACTGAGAATGAAGTGCTAGATCGATATTCAAACTAATTATGCTCTGGAACTGGAGCATAAAAGCAATATAGCTGTGCTCTCCAAGAGGGGACAATATAATTGAACCTTCCTCTGAAAAGACCAGAATGTGTACTTGCAATGTAATTTCTCACACTTCCAGGTGCATCTTGCTCGTTCACTATAAATCAATGCATTTCAAAACAGTGGACAAATACAGATCAGAAGCCGATTCCTATCTTTGGGTTCACATAGAATAGTAACAATTTAAGCAAATACAGCAATGTGGACAGCGCAGACAGATGACGGGAAAGCGCTCTCCAAGGCTGGGTTTTCAAGCTGGAGAGCTCCAGCCCTGTGCGTAGCCCTCAGACAGACCGCCTGAGCCAAGCCTGGCCTGATAAGCTGGGAGCACAGCGGCCATTACGTCACTGCCATCTGTATGGCCGCCAGCCGGCAGCCCCACAAAGGCTTCCCTTGCGCCCCTCTCTCTCCCCTCAAGCGGAAGAGTGAATCCGTCACGCCCCAGTATCCATTGTCCGGCCCCAGCGACTGCGAGACAGCGACAGCAGTGGCTTTAATTAGGGGAAAGGGGGATTCTGCTTTGTTAGTCCCAGAAGGCAGAGGAATAAAGGTGGGCAAACTGGGCTTTTCCCTGGCAGGTGCATCTCGGAAGATCCGCAATAAAGAGACTGCCGTTTTACAGACAGCACAGCTTAAAACATCACTACCATCACTCAGATGCATTGAGGCAGTGAAAAACAGACGTTTGACACCAACTCTATCTGATGTTCAGTACAGGATTCAAAAAGAGTGAATCCAGTCTTGAGTGCTAGCTAGTCTCCCTGCCTGCATGCATTTAATTGTTCTCATGCACATTGTGGAGTAAGATAGTCGGGGAGTTCAGTACTGCGTGTCAGCAGATTACTACTATGGGGGAAATAGGAAGAAAAACAATGAGTAGAATAAAGAGAACTTCATATCAGAATCAGGCACCCAACAAAGAAGTTAACACTTATAATAGAGCCACTTTCACACACACAGTAGATTAGCAACGAACCACATGTGTCCTTGTAAAGACACTCGCTGACTCACTTCAAGGAAAGTTAGCATGAAACAACGGGCAGTACCAAGGTCCGAGGCAGTCAGGAACTGCTCAGCGGATTCAACACCATATTACAGCATCAGCAAGAATGATTCCTTTCTGCATTCCTTTTTCTTTTCTGTTAGTACCAAGACCCTACAGCAGCAGATGCTGCTGACTAAAAGAGCACACAGAAGACCTTAGTACTTGAATGCTGGAATATCCCGCTGATCCAAAAGGTTCTCTAATATGTGAGCAGTGTAAAAAAACAGTGGCAGATACATTTAGCTGTGCAACACACACCATGAAGCATTAATATTCTTTTTTCTATGTGGGAAGAAAATAAATGAAATATGTACATATCTAATCATTTGAACAGTGGCAGAATCTGAGGCCCTGATTTACCTAAAGTTTAAGTGTAAATATTTAATTACTGCTAAATCCATCCATCCATTTTCAGTGACACTTTAGTAAAGGGTGACCATATAGTCTTTACTTACCACACTTTTTTTTAAATGTAAAGAACATCTTATGGCCTTTCTTTTGAAAGAAAATAATAGAAAAGAGTGCTGCTCTAGTACACAAGTACACAGTAAGTACAGGAGCAAAGAGCAAAACCGAATGCAATAAACAGAATAATTTAAAAATGCTAGTTTAAGTCAAAGTAATTGTGCAATTAAAAGGTTGAAAAACTATTGTAAACCCCACTAAATTCTCAAGGAATGAGAACCCGTTTGGCTAGTGTATTCTCCCTGGTGTTCATGATTTCTGATTCTTTTACCTCACTGGTCACTTGCTCCATCGCTTCAGCTTAGAGCCAAAATGTCATGTGAACAAATCATCAGGGGAAAAAAACAACTTGTTTTGCAACTCTGCACATCACAAATGATTAAGTTCAGAACACTTATGCTTTTAATTAAATATTATGTCTATAATCCCTCAGCAAATTAGACCATCAGTGCAATCTGCTTAGCAAATAGCACTGGCTAGCTGTGAGCTGGTACATTTTATTGTTTCTGTTTCTTGTAAAATGAAATCTGTAAAACTATAAAGCTTTTCTTTATGAGCGGAATTGGGGGTGTTAGTGCATAGCCTAATCGCACTCCTCGCTACTGAATTCAAACTAAATGGAACAAGTTCTCTTTGATGTTTAAAAATCAAACTTATGCCTTCAGTTACATATTTCCCTCCCTACAAATAAAACTTTTTAACAGGTTTCCTGTGGCCTAAACAAATTTCAGTCAGTCCAGAACTAAATTGGTTTGCAAATCACACAATGGCCTTATCATCACAGAGGGCTTTTTAAGTGTCATGTTTGCTAGGATTCCCTTGGGATTCCACAGCATATCTCACACCTGTCTTGAGGTTTTAAATGAGCCCCCTGTATTTGTGAGGTAGGATCATTTTACCATAGTTTGCCATATTGGTTATCTACACCATCATTGTTCTTGTGAAGCTAAATTCTTCGGTTAAGCGTGGGGTATTTAAGAATGGTTTGGCAAGCATTGTTGCAGAAGAATAAATGGCCACACAAAACAATGATATTCATTTCAGCCAGTATCCATAAAAAGCTTATTTAAATGCATTGTGAATTGACGCTTCTGAATATTGCATTTAGGCAGTTTCAAAATACTGTACATTATGGACGTTTTAAACAGTTTATTGTATTAAATACACTTAACAAGCACAACACTGGAATTTGATCTTTGAAAACTTTAAAATCAGTTTTAAGCTACAGTATACCAATTTATACCGTGATATAATTTACAACTAAGTTGCCTTTTAACATTGGCGATGTAAGCGCCTTGACCATAATTTCTCTTGGGATGAGCAAGAGGTAAGCCCTGCTGAAAACCAGGTTTTAAGAGTACAGAAGCTGGTGTGTTTTGCCTCGTTCTTTAACGCTTGAGAATTAGGTACAGAACCACGAGAGCAAAAAGCCGTGAGCTATTGTCATTTTAGGAAAGAAAACGAGGGCTGGAGTGGAAACGAGATGAAGAGATAGTGGGAGGAAGCGCGCACATAGGAAGTGAGTAACTAGCTGAAGAAGAAAATCTGGTTTCAGAGTATTTCAAGGTTGATGTAAAAATCAAACTGCGCTCTCTCTGTAGTTTCGATATAGGAAGGTTTCTCAAGCTACAGTGATCACTTAATCCCTAGTAAACTTCATAGTGCTATTTCAGCTTTGTTATCATACCGGGAACTACTGTAAATCACTGCTTTCACGAAATGCACAAGGTGTATTTCGCCCGAATGATGAGCAGTTTATCCTTTTTTGCATTTTATGACACGCCGTTAAGAACGTACAAAACCAGCTACACCCTATTGATATTAACTACCGGGGGAAACCCTTTCATGAATTTTAGTTTTACCTTTATAATGTAACGTGCATAACTTGTTCCATCTTTTTTTTCCCCCAAGCCAGCTGTTCGATTAACTGAATTCCGTTTCCAGTAAACGAGAATGCTCTAAAATGCTGTGAGGTCATCCATTGTCAATTTACAAGCTAATGCCCATTAATTACATTTATTTTCTCGGGGTGGTAGGGTTTGTCTGAGGGGGGTAGAAGCAGGATAAAAACGCCACGTATCTTTGGTTACCAACCGTTTAAATCATTGTACGTGTAACGCGACAAATAAGATTTTTTTTAACTATGTGGGTGTTAGCGTGCCTACGCTGAGAAAACAGAGAAAAAAAAAACATCCCAATGAATTTTCTCAGCTGCTCTTTTGAGACGGTCGGCAGCTCTTTCCCCCGCCTCCATGCCTTTGACATCTATCTAAGCCCAGCCAGCGGCGTCCTCCAATCAGAGCGCCGGCTGCCGACCAAGGCGCGTCCCTATTGGCTGGCGTGAGCTGCGCAGCGGACCAATAAGCGGCCCTCGACGTTTCCTACTCAGTTCCCTCATACAAAGAGGATTAGAGAGTGTGTGTTGCTCGGGTTTGTGCGGGCAGGCTCGTCTAAAACAAACACAAATAAGGGTGGAAAAAAAAAAGTTTGGGGGGCCCTTCCGTCTTCTCCTTTCACGGCGTTTGTGCGGCCAAGGGAAGATGAGAGCGCTTGCCTGCGGAACATCTTGCTCAAAGTTTCGGGCCGCTGGTGTGCTTTTCCCGATCTAACCCTACGCTGCAAAGAATAAAGATTTCTTCTTTTGGGGGGAGAATTACTGAACTGAACAAAGGCGTGTGCTGCTGCTGCTGCTGCTGTTGCTACTGCCCAGTGTATTGTTAGATCCTGCACTTATGCAGCCCTGGGATTTCTGTTTTTCGGAGAACAATCGCGTTGCAGCTTACTTAACTCAAAAAAGGGGGGGGCAAACGGGTTGGTATTTTCTCCCCCCCCTCCCGTATTTTTTTTTTTTGTAATACAAAAACCGCCGATGTAAAATAGCCGAATCTGACTTTTCGCGTCCGCTCCTTGCCGAGCTCGGCCGACACAAAGGAAGGCACGGACGGGGTAAGTTGCTTGCCTGCGCGCAAGTTGGGTTTTCTCGTCGCGTCGCCGTCCGTGCGGTAGAGGAAGCGAGCGCCTCTTTGTAACGCGGCGATCGCGGCCGCAGGGGGGGGGGAGTGATAAGCGAGCAGCAGGACAAGTGAATGCGCTCCTGGAGTTGCAGCTTGCGGGGCTGCCTAGGCATGAGCAGTCGATAAGTTGGCGAAGGGGCTTCTCAGCAGTGAACGGTGCGTGTTTGATTCCCAGTAGCCGACTTGGGTTGAACTGCTCGCCCGCATTGCTCCAACAGACGTCCTTGTCATTTCGTTTTCCCACGGAAGCCGGCGATCGGATAAATACAGCGATTTCACGAGGGGGACACGCAGCTCGCTTGGTGACTGCGCTTCCACGGTGCGCGACTGTGGATGTCAAAACGTAAACAACGCTGCTTATGCAATGACGCCTTTAACATCTGTAAATCGTTTAAGGGGCGAGAGAATGAAAGGGCATTCACCTGCTGGCGGTGCATTTTTAAACCTGGACACGGTGATGTTTTCCTTTGAATCGAATACAAGCATTGAATGTCCGCGCACTTGGTGGGGAATGTTGGAAGCAAATGTTAACCCCTGTTCAAGGATACATGTCCAGCGTTTCATCTTTTAGATTTATTGCATGGTTGTTTTCATTTGTGTAAACACGCAAGTGTGCTTCCAGTTTATATTTAGCTTAAAAGTGGTTACAGTTTCTCGTTTTTTCTGGTAAGGCCTAAGATCATGTCCCCTGAGGCAGGGTCACACTAGAGACAGAAACGGTGATCAGCGAGCTTTAGAGACTTCGCGGTTGCTCTTAATTGTAAGGAGTGGAGCACAGACGGTTACATTCATCCAGATCAGATTTGTAAAAATATTAAATACAAATCAGGCGTGGAAGTATTTTAAAAATGTAAGATTTAAAACTGGATAGCTAATTTACATGAGTGCATTTCTAATAACAATACCTTTAGTTTGATTTTCTCCTGGTTTGCTCCTAAATGAAACTTAGGTCAAGGTTAAAGAAGGTAAAACCCAATGTGGGCTGAATAGCTTTGATATTCTTCAAACATTTAGCCTCCTGATCAACCAGGTATCCACCACCTGTGCTCTTAATGGCCGAGATGCTCATCAGGTTGATATCTCTTGTAAAGCACGCCTTAAGATTTAATGGTCCTGGCGTGTGGATTTAGATGATAGAAATTAGTCAGGAAGGTTTTTCAGTTTGATTTAGGCCTCAGGAGGTGTGAGTTTGAAAGAGCAAAAGTGATGAAATGAAGGCCTTGGATTTTAAATACATGCGTCAATGCTTCCTAAAGTGTGAAACTGCTTCTTTGCGGTGGCGGACAGGAAGAGGCTGTTAAAATCCCGGGTTTTGTCTGTGCCCGCAGGTAGAGGCACTGCCGAGAGGGTGAATGTGAAGTCAGGGGTGGTTGGCTCTCCTCCAGCCATGACCTCAGGAAACGGGAACAACGCGCCAACTGTGACCGGCAGCACGCCCCAGAACGGCGAGAACAAGCCCCCCCAGGCCATCGTCAAACCCCAGATCCTCACCCACGTCATCGAGGGCTTCGTCATCCAGGAGGGAGCTGAGCCTTTCCCTGTGAGTGCCCGCTCGCATGCCCGCCCGCCGTGTGGCACCCGAGGGGCTCAGAGACCTGGTCTGCCTTGGCAGTCACTCTCATCACTGGCACCCAGAGGCTCCGTCCTTGAGAGCCTCAATCAATCCCCACGGGCCACAGGCTCCCCCACCCATCGCTGGCTACACAAGTAGAGCGTTTAGGGTATCCTACTGCACAGGGGTGATTTCGCCTGGGGCGTACAGGATACACCTTCAAAGCTCCAGGCTTCTTGAGCTGAAAGCAGGCACCTTTCTGTGCAGAACTCTCCCCGACAGTAACAGAACCACAGCAGTAAAACGCACGCCACAAGGCCTTCACTCATCAACTCCAGCCAGTCTTGGCTTCCTGAACAGATCAGACCCCTCTGCGCAGTGTACAATCACCCAGTTCCTCAATTAGGATCCACTTTCACTTCCTATTATTCAAAGTCCTATGTCCTATGAAAGCAATGTGACATTTCAACACTTCCATGCATCCTCCAAGCGGCTATGAAACATTCAGACCAGACAGGATCTTGATTTCTATTTATTTAATGCAATAACAATTGTTATTGCATGAGAAAGTATCAGTTATGAATACAGCTAGTATTTGAGAATAGCAACATTTGCTCATTTGAGTTTTACAGTTCATTTAATATACGGTTGAGCACTCTGGCCTTCTTGGTTAAACAAGTGTCATCTGTAGCTCTGGGTTGAGAGCAGGGAGTTCTTCACAATAGCGGTTAATGTTCCATCTGTATCAAACACCTCTTCTGAATGGAATGCACTGCCACCTAGTGGCGACACAGGGGGCCAATATTCATGCGTCAGCGTGCAAAGCAAGAAGAGGAAATTTTCTCACAGTCCTACAGCTCAGCTCCAGGCATGGGTGAGGGGCAGTGCCAGTCTGCTAAGGGGCGATGCAGAGGAAGCGATTACCGCTGTAAGATGTCAAGATTTCTACAGCTGGCCTCCCTCCCAGAACGGAGCCTTTGAAACAGGGTCGTGCAGCTGCCTGCTGGCTATGTGAGGAAGAGAGCCTGATGGAGGAGATGGGGCCCAGAGCTCCTGGCTGTTGCAGCTCTCCAGCTGCTGTAGACGGAGAGGGTAAACTGTACGTTCACATGCTGCCTGTAAGCTAAAGCAAATTGCCTTGGCAAGTGTAAATACAAAGTGCCAGAGGAATAAGTCAATCCCTGTTTAGAAACACACAAAAAAAAACCCTCTTCTGTACTTAATTCCCTCCTGTCAGCAAGCACAGTCTGAGGGTCACCATCTTATACTGCACGCCTGTGTACCTTGGGAAGCCACCACTGGGTCATCCTGCTATAAGCGGAGTCCGGAGGTGCATGTACGCTTTACAGTTGCCGCTGTTTGTGCACCCAGGTGGGACGTCCTCCTCTGCTGATCGAGAACCTCAAGAAACAGAAGCAGCAGCTGCAGTCGGACCCCGAGAAGACCCCCCAAAGCAATCCCCCCAACACTACAGATTCGGAGATGGAGGATCTTACACAGCAAGGTAGGATCTCGCCGTACACGCGCTCGTTTCAGCTCCGGCCTAACGAGCGCCTGACATGGGAGGTGTGGTGTAATGCCAGGCTTGTCCTGGTGGAGTTCAGACGAGTATTGACCGGGTGATCACATTTAGAGTTGTGGCGTACGTCCGTGATCACTGGATTGCATTTGCGCAGTGCGGCCAAAATGGGTTTCTGGGAATAAAAAAAGGCAAGGCCTCTCCGAAGAGAAATTCACCTTTCCCTTTTTACAGGTCAGATCAGTGGTGCTGTAACTTTTTAGTCATATTGGTGAGCAATGCAGTTCACTCCTGCTGCTTCAGTAAATTCTCTACAGTATAAACAGGTCATCGTTATTAAGGAGTATGTGTTCTCATTTGACTTGCATGGTAAGATATGTTGCAAACCATAGTTTTTTCTCTGACTTCCTTCAGTGATATGTTCACGGCACATTCAAGTGGTAGATTTACTTACTGCATTTAGCATTGTGAAGACCATAAATGCCAGTACTTAACAGTTCTGCTGTCATTTAGTAGTGTGATAGAGTATAACAGAAAACGTCCGACTTGCATTCTTTTTTTTGTTGAAAATGGTTGATTTACACGTGTAAAATTCAGCTGCAGCCCACACACGATGACTAAATTTCTATATCTAGAGTCTCACAACAGCTGCCATAACCACGTTACCCAAAGGTGTAGAGAGGGGATTAGTTCTGCTCAAGTCACTGAATTTTAAATGCAAAGATGCTCTCAAAAAATATGCCTTTGCACATTATTTTGTGAACACGGAACACCAAAAACCTAGACATACTGTACAGGAAGTACAAGGTAAATGGTCTTTGTATAAACAAGAAATCTGGAAATTAGAGTGGGATAACTAGTTGAGAAAAGGAATACCCCTAATGGCTTTATACATTGTATTTTTATGAAAATGTAGAGTGTAGAGAACCACCTGGAGACAAATGTTTCTGGATCCAATATTAAAAGTTACCCAAGGGCCTTCTTTAGAACCAGCAATGAAACAAGCCAGAAGACACAGGTGGAAACTACTGCATTTAAAACTAAAAGCAGGAGACGTGGTTTTACTCAGAGTCATGGGAGTATGATGCGACCAAACCACCCACAGAGCTGAAGCTGCTACCAGGGATTCTTTCAAGTAATGTCTGGTTGAGATCAGGTTTAAGGTAGTGTTCATTTATGGATTAGACCATTGAGATAGATAATGGCAATAGATGGTCTCTAAATACCAAACTAGAGGTAAATGACAGAAGGCCAGTCATTCTTATTTCCTATATCAAGGTCTGATTTTAAGCTGCTTGTTCGTTGTTCACTGTGCCTGAACAGAAATGTTTGTCCCTCCAGGACCTGACACCCACCCCAATTCGAGAGCCTTTGGTTTTAAATGTTGTGCTTTTTTTCTGAGTTCCCCTCTGCTGCGCTCTCTCAAGGCTGTCTTTACTTTCTAGAATTAAAGGACCAGGAGGAAGACGCCGAGCCCAAGCTGAAGTGTGAGCTCTGCGGACGGGTTGACTTTGCTTACAAGTTCAAGCGGTCAAAGAGATTTTGCTCCATGGCTTGTGCAAAGAGGTACATTACTTAGGCTTACAGTTTTATTAAACAGGACACTCTGTCTGTTACACTTAAAAAACCCATTGAGGACAGGGGGGGGGGGGGGGATTTATTTCCTTTAATGTAGACTGTTTTGAAATAATTATGAAATAATATAAGATAACAGCATACAAGAAGGGACTGTTTTTATATTACCCAAGCAGATGATCAGGCTAGAGCTGAGAAATAGCATTAGCAGTAAAATCCAGTGGGGCAAATCAGATGAAGGAGAAAGGAGGCTACAAGAGAAAACCATTGACTCCCAACGATCAAAACTGTTCTTGGTACTGTAAGCGTTTTATCCCCAGGGATTCTGAAGGGCCTTTTCGTTGGTGGTCTTTTTTTTCTTTACAAATCCAGTAAGCAGAGCTGTTGGAGTCTTTTGGGTAATGGCTCTTAAGTTATGGCCTGTAAACTGTAAACCATATACGGTTCAGAAGGAATTGAAACAGGAGCCAGAGCACAGCTGGTGCATGCTGTTACCCACACTGGCATCCTGTAACTTTTATACTCTACAGTGTTATGAATTTTGATCTCTTTTTTTCCATCAAATTATATGCTGTCCTTTGTGGGAAAGCTTGGCAGTATTTCTGCTGGGGATTCAGGTTGGGGTTGTTCTTGTTTATAAGTGTTTTTATAAATGTATGTGGGTGGAAAGAACCACAGATGCAAAAGCTAACTAACTGAGCTGGAGTTAAATTAAAGCAGATGTTAGGTGAATTCTGCCTTTCTTTTTCTTCTCACTCAGATGACCACTAAAAAGGCCTGCTGGAACAGTGGCATGTCTCCCCACCCTCTCTTTCCAAACCTCCAATTTTTTTATTTATTTTTTTAGTTTTGTTTCCATCCAACCAAAGTGTCATTTGACATTTTCTTTAAGCCACAAGACCACATAGGCCTGCATGAGAGGGGTAACTGTACTACTCATTTTTTAACATGTTCTTACCACCAGTTTAGGAGATAAAAGCAAAAGGAAATAAAATTGGGTTTTCAACTCTACTGAACCAAAATCTCTCAAGACATGCCTCCTTTCTTGATCTTTGTCAGATCTGTACTCCAGACATTTTCATTCTTGCTGGTCTGACCTTTCAAGCGTTTGCAGCAGAAACTAAGGGATGAGAATGTTTCACAACATGAGAGTTGCTTCATTGATTAAAAATGTCTTAAAACTGCAAAAGCACTGAGCTTCCTCTGGTCTTTGTCAGATATAACGTGGGATGCACGAAGCGCGTAGGCTTGTTCCACCCCGACAGAAGTAAAAACGCAAAGTCAGATGGACCAAAACACCGCAGACGAAGGTCGCGCAAGGGCAGTCTGCAGAATCTGAACAAGGAGACCAAGAAACAGGTGACACCCGCAGCAAAAGATCGATGTCCTTTTCCCACCTGGGGTTGCCCAGTTCTTAGATCTCCCCCACTGATACACCCATAGAGCATCAACACTGAGCAAAGAGCGCATAGATAAGTACGACTACAATTTGTACTGTATATGCAATGTTCTGCTGCAAGTTACAGATTTCAACACTCGCAAGTAATGCGAATGAATGCGTACGAGTCCTTGACTTAATATTACAAGATTTAATAATATGTTACATGTTACATACCCTTTATATAGCAAGTAATCAGTAAGCACACTGTGGAAACACCTCTGCCAACAACTGTACAGATGTTCTGTTCACCTGTTTAGGATAGACATCCGATGCATAACATTCTTAAATTCTGTGGGTAAGTAAAGGGATTAGTAGTAAAATCTGAAAATGAAGGAACAACTGTTTAATTAGACAGTACTATCAAATATTAGGTTGGTGTTGGAAGGAATACCAGACTTTGTCATTAAAACTTTGTTTTATTCTAACTCTGAGCAAAGAATTAGCCTGTAACTCCTGCTCTGCCCTCATGTACCTACAGTAGCTATTTTCTCTTTGTTCTTCTTGGTGTGGATTTACAGTATACGTGTAGCATTAATCTATAGGTGTTTTGCATGTGACAAATAACACGCGCTGCCCACAGAAGCCTGCGCAAGCGAGATCTCCCCGCGGTGTAGCGGGCTTGACGGCGCCTTTGTCCTTGTTGCAGCAAGCGCCCACACCCCTGCAGTCGCTGGGCGGCTCCGTGTCCTCGCCTCCCCCCTCGCACCCCAGCCAGGGCGAGTCCAGCCAGTGCTCGGACATCTCCAGCTACGAGGAGCCCCCCTCCCCCCTCTCGGCCGCCAGCTCGGGGGCCCCCAGGCGCCCAGGCGACAGGGGCCCCGAGGCCCCCGAGGGCCACACCCGAGAGCTGCCTCTGCTCACGCAGCACTTCCTCCCCAGCGACCCCACCAAGTGGAACGTGGAGGACGTGTACGAGTTCATCCGCTCGCTGCCAGGTCAGTCAGTCGCCCGGCTGGGCCCCCAAACCGAGGGGGGTCACTGTGCTCAAAGCTTATGACTTCAGACATGAGGACCCTCGTGTGAAAATCTTTTTCCATTGATCTCTCTTCCGCGACTGAAATTGCACGTGTAGAGCTGGTCAATCAAATAGTTTTTAGGACTCGGATCTATGCGAGACCAAATCTGGCGATGCCTTTTTATAGCACGGTTCTATTTTTAGTTCTACACAACTCAAATGAGTCATTTGTCACCTGCGAGAGCTCATTATCCCCAGACAAGTAAGCAAGATCCCCATTTATTTACGTTACAGCGCAAGATGTTGCCACTGTACTGCCAATCTGATTTCCTCTGATGTCTACACTAATGCGTTTTAGAGAAACTGTGCTAAGCTATTGTTGATCAAGATGGATTTTATATTCATTGCTTCTCAATATCTGCCTTATCACAGCAGACTCTGCTCTAAACAATTGCTAGACTCATCTGCTTGTTGTAGCTAGATAAGCCACACACAAAAAAACTAACTCTGTGACCTCCTCTGTTGAGCTGCAGGCTGCCAGGAGATAGCAGACGAGTTCCGATCACAGGAGATCGATGGCCAGGCCATGCTGCTGCTCAAGGAGGACCACCTGATGAGTGCCATGAACATTAAGCTGGGACCGGCGCTGAAGATCTACGCCCGGATTAATATGCTCAAGGACTCCTAGCTGAATCTGGGCTGGGGGCCAAGAGGGTGGGCCGCCTGCCTCCTCCACAATACAGAACTACACTGAACGGTCAGGGTGGTCCCAAAACCGTTTCTACTGCTGCGCAAATCTCAGCCAGGTTGAAAGCTTTTCCTGTCGGCTCTTGGCAGGTGGCATGGTGCTAACCTGAAGAGACGCATGACCGTTAGTATCTCTTTTTGGACACCTGAGCTCCTGAAGTTCCGTACTGGTGATCTACAGCTCTGAACTCTTTCCAGATGGACATACAGGAACTAATTAATCAGATTAGTGGGTTGTTTTGGACCTACTGCACAAGGAGCATCGGAAGGAACTATAACTACTTCACTGGTTTCTGGCAACAAGGGCTCTGGTGTGATTTCTTAAGCCATTGCCAATGAGAACTGGGGTGAGGGAAATGGGGACAGGTCCCTGGAATTTGCAGATGGGCTTTTGTTTCTTTAAATGATATTTAATTTGACTTCCCTGAAAAGGAGGACGACATGAATAATTATAAGCCGAACGGGTTCCACGGTGAAGAGTTTCGCCTGATAAATTGGTGCTAGTTGATGGCGTTGTGGAAAGCAAATGTCTAGCGAGGGTGCTGTTCAGCAACAGCTGTAACACTGCCCTGGCCTCACTGTGTATAAGGGTGCTCAAGAATGATAACCTGTTGTCACAATAGTAAAGCGACCGGTAAAGCAGTAATCATGCATTAGTTCATACAGAAAATGCTTAGTTCAAGCCTCTTTGCAATTCAGAAAAGTCCCTTTCCTACATATAGCATTTTTTTAAACAGACACCAGGATGGGGCACAAATTGAGAAGCACAATAATTTTTATTACTGCATCTCTTAATGCTGTCCTGTTTTTCTTCCCCACCATGACCCTTTTTGGTGCATGTGAAATACTCTTATTAAATTAAATGCTGGTTTCCAAAGATAATGCATGAATTGCGTCCTACAAGGATTCATTTTCTTTCTTTTTTTTCTTGATGCATTTCAGAATAAAAGTTCAAATCATTCTCAATTTGTCATTCACCATCACTGGGTCACTCGGCAGTCTTGTTGCCTCATCCAGAGGGTCACCCTCTTCTGTGCCTCAGTAATCTATCCCTTCAGTGGTTGCTACAGCTTCACAAGGAACTTGATAAAACATAAGGCATTATCCAAAACATCAATACAGATCCCTCATATGTGAGCAGCATAATAGTGGCACTAACACGACTTAGAAATTCAAAACAGCAACTTCTTAAAAACAACTGTCCATTTACACAGAAGCCTATTCCTTTCCTTATTTACATTAAAAGAAATGTAAATAACCATTTACCATCCCTGCAAAACTGCAGACGTTAAGACTGTTAACTGTGTACACAGGTAAAATGTACTTATCGGGCGTTTACGTGCTGAAGTCACCTTTTGTGTGAACACAAAACTGTGATTTGTATTTTTTTTTAGGAAAAACAAGTTGACAGTGAGAACTCATGGAAGTGTTCTTGTTTAAAAGTTTTGTCTTGCAGTCCAGTCCGAAGCAGGTTTTAGCTTGGAGAGTCTGAGCAATGCGATGTGGTGAATACCTCCGATTTACTCTAGGGACCCAAACTCATCCTCTGTGTCCATGTGTAGACTCCTTGTTTATATAGTGAGGGGTCACCTAGTGTGCTTTTGTTGGGTTTTTTTAATGTGAGAATTGTTACAATCTGTATTTATCTAAAGGATAGTCCTGTAATATAACTTTTTTTACTTGAATAAAAAAAAAGAAATATATTGCCTTTTTTCTGTGGGGGGTAGAGAGCTGAGACCCCCAGCCCCTCTGTACTCCACTATTTTATTCACTGGTGTGCCAACCAACAGTATCTGGGAAGGTCGTGCTGCATTATGGTAGGGCTCTTCTGTGATCATTACCAGAAGAGTTTGTGGTGAGACTCTGAGACTAGGACTGTAGACGTCCCCTATGAAATATTCATTAGTTTTCCTCTAATTCGGTGAGCAAAGCTCAGTATTTCAATCCTTAATACCACTATGCTGTTTATAAATCCCTCCTGTGAGTTTATTTGTAAAATCTGGAACAAAAACATACTCTGGACTGAACGTAGAGCGGTAGAAGACCAGCCAGATACTGTATATCCTAGGGCTTAAAGGAGTACATCTGCAGGCTAAAAGAACTAGACCTTCTGAACAGAGAAGACTGCTTGAATCGGGCGTCCTTCTATTCAAAATGCTCCAAGATACTGAGAAACTGCATATTTGATTACTTCAAGATTAAAAGTGAAATACAAAGCACACAAAGCAGAAATTAGAAGTGCAATCAGAAAATATGGAATGTAACGGCTTGTTCAAGTGGGGCATTTTATACCGAGAAAAGAGTAATTATGTACAAAAACAGTTGTGGGTGTTTGGAATAATGTACCCAATCTTTGCTTTACTCTGGGATTCTGCAAAAAACGCCGTGGTAGATAATCTTAAATAGCAGTTGTCAAACGGGCTTTTAAAAAACCAATGCGTCTTCGTATTTGTAACCTATTTTTTTGGAAGAAACTTCTTCCAAACACCAGAAAGCACTGCGTTATTTGTCGATCAAATTGCCTAAAAAAAATCTCTTTACGAAAAAAAAAAATGCAATAACGACTGATAATTATAGCAATGAAACACTAAAACCGGGTACAAAATAAAGCGCACAAAACGCGGATTTGTATTGAAAGACCCTGGAAGAGCTACTGTGAGGGTAGTTTTCTTCATCGTACAGTGTACAGACCACAGCATGTCCGTAATGCTGAAGATGTTCAGGTCAGTCAAATTCACAATGAGGGAAAAGACGTCACTCTCGGAAACTACTGAAGTCCAAGAAAATGTGCTAGTACACTTAAAACGTGAAATTAGACAGACTAACAAACTGGCTTAATAGCACTGCTGCCGCATTTCTAGCTATTGATACCTGTACGTACTGTACAGCACGCAGCTCTCACGTTTGATCTCTATTCACCTTCCCCTATTCTTTTGCAGGTGCTCTGAATTGATCGCATCAACCCAAAACATGTAGTTGAGGTTTGATAGGAAGTTGCAGATCCATATTATTCCCACTGCTGGTGCACTGTTTAAACATTCGTAATTTCTTTTGAAATCAACCCCCCCAAACACACGCACAAATCGTTGCTCTGCGGCTGAGAAAGACCACAAAACCCATCCCTTTCAAGCACAGTACTACAAATAACACTAGGACAGGTCGCGTCCAGCTGCGTCTTTTACTTACCGAAAGAGCATACTGTACTTCACTGGTCGTTGTGACTGGGCATTTCCAAAATGTCCTTGCGCTTCTTCGGTACTGTGAAAAGTGGAAAATCACGTTGCTCGGCGAGCGACACCATCAGACCAGGTTCCTCAAGACCCGCTCCTCGTTCAAACAAGCATCCCACAATGTCCATACCGCTGTGATTTACATTGTCTTCGCATCGAAGATTTTCCGTTTTCTCGCATTTTGTATTTTTCGGGCCACTTAGAAGTATTTGTTGTGCGCATGAAAACGATCGCAGAGCCAGCGAGGATCTGTCACAACGTTTCTTTAAAATGTTTAAAATCAGTTGGTCCGTTTCTGGAGAATCCATACACAGTGTAAAGACGTCGATAGCCTTTGAATGACCAGAACAAACCATGCGCAGAAAAAGAACACGACATGAAATGAGCCTATAGATATCTTTTTTTTTTTCCTGGTGGTAGAAAGACATAATCAGACACCTGTGCGATACAAACTCGTAGCACCTGCGTTAGACCCTGGAATGCATTCGGGTTGTGTGTTGCGTTTCTACAAGAGAGAACGAATCCCAAAGCGTATTTTAGAAATAAACTGAGCCTGTCATACAATTGGAACGAAGCTACGTTATAATACAATAAATGTTTAAAACAATTTATAAGCACTATCGAGTACGGTGGTGGTTTAATTTATTTTTAAGTTGTACATTCGTTTATCGTATAAAAATAATTTTAAAAGTATTTCCTGATACCATCACTCCCAGGGTAGTTGTATTTCTTTCAAACAAGCATTACTGTTAAACAAATTAAATCAAAACGTTTGTGGACAGACATTATTTGATTTTGGGGGATCTCAGGTAAGAAATTTCCCACGTTCTGTTGCGCGGTCATTACACGTTTTTGTCTTTCTTCTAACGTTAAAAAACATACTTTCAAAACATTTAAGTATACTTTTCTTATGTAATTGTGTGTTGTATACTTGGATGTTTTGAAGTAGTAACTGTAACATTTGTGTCTAGGGACTGACAATAGACAGCAGTTACTCTAGGACTAGAGACCTTTGAAGAAATGCAGGTATCTGGTCTGTAAGGTATTTGCTGTAAGTGGCGTTCATGGGCTAGCACAGTTTGTGGAGATCTTTTCTCAAGATTTCCAAAAGCAATGACCCCTGTATGGTGACAGGGGTCATCCTGCTGTAAAAGTTGTTATCAATCACATGAAATTTTAAACAGGGGTCCTGACAAGTAGGGTGTTAACCCCAGTGTCCTGTCTGATTTTGGGTTTGTACAATCTCCCCGTCCTAAAGTTCTCTCTATTCTTAAGTATATTTTATTTAATAAATTTTGAAAAATGTGAACAAGATTAGCCAAAACTAAGAAACATAAGAACAACACAAAATACATAAAAACACACATAAAAAACAAGAGCAGAACAATTAACAAAAAGCATAAATTTGCTTAGGCTCTTTTACAGTTTTATTTTTGTTTTTATTGTTGTTATTCTGAGCACTGCCTCTGAACAACCACAGAGTGCTAGTTCAGAATCTGGGGGTATATTCTTTCTAAACACTTTTGAGTCCCAAAGAAATATTTCTACCCAAAAGTTTCTATAACATGTGACACAGCCAAAAACGGTATGTGACAATGCCATCAGAATACCTGCAGCTACCACATAAGGGAGAGACTTAAGAATACATCTTGTTCAATTTAGTTTCTGAGTGATGAAGCTGACATGTGACCCTGTACCGACAGTATAGTTCCCTCTTAACTCAGCTGTTGAAGCAGTTTCTCACCATCGTCTGCTCTGTAGTGGGCCTGTACTCATGCAGGTACTGTGCAGCGATACGGTGGTGAATGGGGAAATGTCTCAACCTACAGTACATACAAAGTGCTTTTGTGCTCCTTTGGGATGAAAGCATTACATAAACACTAGGAATTATAATTATCCCTGAGTTATTGACAAATCTGTTTATTTCCAAATAAATCCATGGCACCCTATCAGCTAACAAGTAATATATATTTATAATTATACAGTATACACTATGTGTATCTGTGTGATTGGTGTACTGTTTCAAGTATGTACAGTAAATGGCTATGACCTTAAGCAAGAAATGGAATAGGAGAGAAGGAACCCCCTTTTTACAGAAGGTCTTTGTACTTACAATATTTACTTTCAATATGTACTTCCAATATTTTAAATGCACATTACATCATCACAGTTTAATCTACACAAAAGTATTATCATAAAATCATTTTTCTCATTTTCAAATTAGAGAAATTCAAATTAAAGACTGCCAAAGAATACTTTTTTATTTTTCACATTTGTTTTCTGATAAGTATACATAATGTCATAAAAGTAAGTAAACTGACCTGTTAAAAAACAGTTTTAAAAATTCTGTACTGCTGTGCTACTTTGGCATGTTTCCACTATTCCTGCAGACTACTATGGAACGAAGATGGAAGAGAAAATCACCATCAGCAACAACAATAACAGCAATAATAATAATAATAATAATAATAATAATAATAATAATAATAATAACATTCAAATAGCTGCTCTTATACATGATGCTTGGTTACTTTCAACGTCTTCATGTTTGTAAAGTACAGATGTTTTTGGCAAAGTGTTCCATAAACCTAAACAATGACATAAATCCTGCAGATGGCTTACAAATGGTTAACTTTACCTTTACGTGCAACGGTATGTCCTTTGTGAATAAATAAAATATTTCTCTTGGCTCTTCTGCTATTCCCTTGTGCAGCGTGGAGGTAAGATCATTGCACACACTGATTTTCAGGCCTCCCACAGACACCTTAGACTAGAGCAATAATTGATGATTTAGCATAATCCTAGCACAATGAAGCGAAAGTGGTACAGTATGTTTAACGTTTTTGTGTCTGAATTATTCCCATTTAAAGGCTAGAAGAATTTTTTCCCATTGCCTCTTTGCAATATGACTTGGTGACCCAACATAATAGGATACATTTCACTTCGAAGCACAGCTCCAACTTGATGGAAAGTCAACTGTATGTTCTAAGCTTGGGAATTCTCCTTCTTTACAGAGCATGACATTATCTCAGTAGAGCTGCGTTTTGCACCGGACTGGGAAGGCTACATTTCTGTGCCAGTTCAGGTTCACCCTGCTGGCTCAGTTACCATCACTGGGGCTGCTGGTTTTGCTTTTCTTGCGCTTGACCTTGGCCACTGGCGGGGGCAGTCCCAGGGACTCCAGGCGGAAAGGGCGGGGCTGGAGGGGGTCAAGGCCAGGTGCAGGGGATATATTGGCTCCACTGGAGGTCAGGTGGGACATTCCATTACCAAGAGGGGCAGTGTGTGAAGCTGCAGAAAAATCAGTACACGTTAATAAAATACTAGTTCAGGTGGGGAGCTTCACTACTCAGTATTTTATTAAGGAACAAGTAATAGGTTTATTCCATGCTGAAAAGAGAAGAAAGAAAACACAACGTTTCGGCTGTGGAGCCTTCTTCAGGTGTGAGGTGCTCCTCAGCTGAAACGTTGTGTTTTCTTCTCTTTTCAGCATGGAATAAACCTATTACTTGTTCCTTAATAAAATACTGAGTAGTGGAGCTAAATCAGTCATATATGGACCATTGGCTGAGTCGGTTTCCATCCATCCATTTTCTTAGCCCTGTTTTACCCCAAAGCAGGGCTGTATGGGAGCCGAAGCCCATCTCAGTAAGCAACGGGCACAAGGCAGGATATACCCTGGACAGTCCAGTAGACAGACACAAATACGCACACTCTCACACCACGGCCAATTTTCCCAGAAATCAATTAACTTACCGGTATGTTTTAAGACTGTGGGAGGAAACCGGAGCACCAGGAGAAAACACACATGGACACAGGGACAATGTGCAAATCCCATGCACATTGCACCCCAGGAAATACAGCCGGGGCCCCACGCTGCCTGGCACCAATGCTAGCCACTGCACCACCATGCTGCTGTACTGATTATTCCATAAAAGTTCCATGTAGTGTTAGCTTATAAAAACAAATACTGAAGCTTCTCTACAGAACACTACTGAGCTGCAGGACAAGTTCAGACAGGGATGGTAAAAATAAGTTAAAAGGAGACATTTTTACTTACTTGTTTTTTTCTGTTGAGATTTTGTGTGATTTAACCATGTGTTTGTCTTACGTTTCCAAACAACTGGTGTTTGACAAGCCTTGAGGTATTCTCTTATCTCATTCACTCTTTCCTTTGAAAGGATGAACAACCATATCCAACTGAAATCATGCCATAATACGGTTAAAGTATACTAAAAATACAAAGCGTCTTTATCTCTTAGGAATGCACATACGTGCATATGGCTGACCTTGAATTCTGTTTTATGAATGAAAAAATCCAACAGAATACACCAACATGGAACGATTGCCTAGATTCCATGCACACCTCTAAATAAAAATCTTACAGTGATTCATAGTGGAAATTAATTACTGTAGTGGAAAAAAATGGAGCACTTCAGAGAAAAAAAGGACTTTTGGACAACAGTTTTGCACCACTGCACATGCATTTATCAGAGAACACACAGAAGACATCTATGACCACTTGAAGCCCCAGTCCTTACCCAGGCTTTTCATGGGGTCAGAGCTGAGGAGCTGGCTGGCTCTCTTTGATCTGAAGTAGTTGCTGGCAATGTTTTCGCTATCACTGCGGTTCAGCATCTCCTTGTACCTGTCCTCCTCCTGTTGGGATACAAAGGCATAATTATCCACGTCTACCTTCCCTCTTTCCTGCAGATCATTTTTTTGCTTTTTTTACTGCCTTTCATATGGTCACACACCAAGATCATGAAAAGTCAAGGTCTTGGTGTGATCATATGAAAGACGCTTGACTTGAAAAAATATCAAACTAAAAAATTTATAAAAATATAGGTTCTACCACACATTTCATCATATTTAAGAACCTTCAGGCAAAAAGTACTGTTCCAAATGGGAGATGTGGTCACCTCTGGAGGGAGCACACCGTTGGGTCCTAATCTAGCAGCACATACCAGCTTGACCAAGCAAACATGTTGGAAAGTCCTATTTGAAGCACACTGGCAAAGCAATTCAGTTTGTCTGGCTAGTTTTGGAGTTACCTTTTGAAAAAAAGGTCTCCAAAGTCCCTGATGAACACAACCTCACTTAACAGCAGTCCACCTCAAAGAGGGATAAGGACCACTTTTCTTTTTGTATGTCCTATTTGAGCACCATCACTCTGTATAGTAGGTGCAATATTATTTTATCTGATGGAATCAGCATTTCAAGAAAGCGACCCTTTGTCTGTGGTTTGAAGAGCATAAAGGGGTATGCAGGTTGCAATCAAAAATCCATTCTATTTTGTAGCTCACTTTTGCAAACATGTGGTCAATGAGTTTGAAGCGTCTGCCTTAGAAGGAGCTGTAATTCCAACAGGCTCTTCCTCTTGAAAAGAAAGAACCCTTCTCCTTCCAAAACACCATCTTTGTAAAGAATGAATCACCATTAACTCTGGCGAAAGTAAAACTAACCTGCAGTGGTAGAAATATAGGTACTGACAATATTACAAAGATAACTGTTTTATGAACATAGCCTTAATCATTCCAAATAGATGTATAGATCTACCTCTTTTTAGGGACATGTACCTTTTCAATTAGCTTAAGATTTTCATTGTATTTCAATCTCTCAGTACCACAAGGGTGTTCTACAGCTTACATGGAGTCTGAACATATTCAAGAAAATTCATGTGAGCCAGTAAAGTAGAACGGATTCATTTT